CCTCCGCGTCCCCCGGCAGCAGCGAGGGCAGCGTCTGCGACCGCAGCTCGGAATTCGAGGACTTCTGGAGGCCGCCGTCGCCCTCCGTGTCTCCCGGTAAGGACCCGCTGGGAGCGCCAGGGTCCGGGGCGCAGGGACCGCTCGGCGGGGCAAGGGACCCGCGCGGCTTTGGGCGCAGAAATGCTAACTGGGTGGCGGAGGGTCTTTCCTAGAGGAGGGAGAGTTTTCGTGGGGGATAGGGCCGCAAGGGAGGCACCCGACTTTCTGGGACTCTGGCAACCTGCTTGCGGGACCCGCTGCGTGGACCCGAGGCGGCGGGACCCGGGCTGTTCATCCCTACCCGGTTTGTTTGCGCAGAGCGGGTGGGTGAGAAAAAAAAAAATAAATGAGTCGTCTCCAGCGTCAGCAACGTCGACATTTCGTTTTCAGGCCAGGGTTCATTGTTTAGAAAGAGCTGGGATCCCAGAATCCAGAACCCCGAGTCTCCAACAAATGGAGACCAGGGAAGTCTGAGAGGAAAGTGTCATTGGCTTTAAAATGTACTCTCGCTTCCGCGGCGTGGGGGCCCCCCGCAGAGCTGGGCGCCCAGCGGGAAGGAACCCATCCTGGATGAAAATCTCGGCCCCCCGCTGGGTCTTCCGAGGCGGGATTGGGGGCCCGTTTTATTTTTTTGTTCTGCCTGTTGGGTCCAGTTCTGGGGACCAGCAGGCTGGTTTCATTTCCATCCGGGCAAGTCAAGTTTCGAGAAAACTGAGTGAGCGCACATCGGGTGGGGCCTGGGGACCGAGAGCGCAGACCAGCCGGACCTGCCAAGGGTCGGTTATTTAAGGTTGCATTTACTACTTTTAAAAGGAACCTCCCCCTCCCCTCCAACACACACACCCCATCCCGCACTCGTGCGTTGACTTGGTTAAAGACGGAGCTCCAGCGCGTGAGTCTGGGGGCCAGCAAGCCGAGGTTTCTTCTTGGCTGTGCTGGACACCACCCGCAAGGTCTGGGCACCGCGGCCTCTCTCCCTCGGGAGCTCGGAGTGCTGCAGCCTCCCTCTGAAGCGGTTGGCTCGGAGAGGAGTCTGCGGTGCCCGAGCAGATTGGCAGATCCGTGTGCACTTACAGAAAGTCTGTTGGGGATTTGGTTTTTTAGCAAGATTCTTGTTGGTTGGGGTGGATGCAGAAAACTGCGAATTTGCAAAGTTATTCCCCTTTAGAGTTGGTGGCTAAACCTTAGTTGTAAATTATTTTCTAAGAAATTTGGATTTTTTTTCCCCCCTGTCAAACTATGATGGAAATGGGAGTAGTATTTGGCAGGCAGTTCAAGCCCCAAATCCCCTTCCCGCTGCTCCTTCATTACCTGCACTGGGTGAGCCCTTAATACCTTTAAGGAATGTAACGCCTCCTCTTTGCAGTTGTTGCGGTTGTTTTCCCAGGAAGGTAGGTCTTGGGTAGGCCGGGCCACATTTGATTGGGCCTCTCCTTCCCTCCTTATCAATCTCAGGAACGAAAAGGGACTGAGTGGGGACCATCAGGGCCCGGGTAGCGCCGGAGCTGGGCCCTCTGCCCACGAGTGCTGCCCAGGCCGCCCTCTCCGCCCTCACAGCTGGGCTCAGAGCATTGATTGCGCGCAGGCAGCGAGGCGCGCCTTTCTCTGTGGGAACACCAGGTGCGCTGGCGGAGCCGGCAAAGACCCTCTTAACCTCGCGCGCTTCCGCTGTCCTGGCACAGAATGACCGACCTCCTCGCCCGATGTGGTTTACACAATCTGTTTGCTGCCTCCAGTGGTCCTCGAGGCCTCAGGGACCGGGACTGCGTTTTATCCTGCGGGCGTCCCTGGCATCTAGCGCGGCAGCTGGCGCACGGGGTGCTGCACAAATGCTGGGGGCCTGGCAGTCCGTGTGAAGCCTGACCGGACGCCCTCTCGTGTCTCCTCAGCCTCGGAGAAGTCGGTGTGCCCATCGCTGGACGAAGCTCAGCCCTTCCCCTTGCCCTTCAAGCCCTACTCGTGGAGCGGCCTGGTGGGTTCTGACCTGCGGAATTTGGTGCAGAGCTACCGGCCGTGCGCGGCCCTGGAGCGCGGCGCAGGCCTGGGC